TGGCTATGTCCAGTGTTTCTTTCAGACTTTTTTCTCCGAGGGGGGGGTGGGCTATTGAAATTTCCGGGGTACGGGACAAGAATTTCCGTGGGGGGGGGAGGACACAGTCAAAATTAGATATTTTCTATATAAATTCCATTTCAATCGGCCGGGGGGGGGGGGGGGCGGGGGGGGGGGGGGCGGTTAGACTTTCATCGGTGGGGGGGGGGAAGCAGATTCGTTCCCGACCACCCCCCCCCCCCCCCCCCCGAAGAGATGCCTGGAAGAAACTCTGGCTATCTCCAACAGGCCCGAAGGATTTTAAAATGAGCCCCCGAACACGAGATTGAAATTTTCATTGTGAATTTTTTCTTTATCAAGGCCTGAATTTTAGGCCTTGGTGTAAAAGAAAAGTGAAATTGTAAAATATAAATAGTTTTAAAAAAATAGAACACTTATTTGACTAATACATCACTGTTTCAGAGGGCCCAGATATATTAACCTGGGGGCCCACATATATTAACCTGGGGGCCCATCGGGGGGACCAATCCACCACTGGTGATGATTTTTGATGGTGTATTTGTGTATGTTGGTAGGAGGAGGAATTCTAGGCACACCTTTAGACCAACAGGAATACGCTAGGCTAAAGAAACGGATGCGTATTACAAAAAACAAGTCAACAGCAACGTATGGCAACACTAACTCACCAAACAACACCGCATCATTGCACATCATACAAAAACTTGCAACATCAGACACTAGCAACATCACGAAATTAACACACATACACACACACACAGACATACACACACATAAACACATGGACACACACAGACACATACATACACACACACAGGCACACACTAACCACATCGAAACCTTAATTAAAACACATACAACTAGACATTTTAAAAAAACCAAATAAACGAAGCTTAAAAAGGTACAATCTGCCTTACTGCTGAACACCTGAGTTTTTAAAAAAAACGTACCTACACAACTGCTTGCATCGTTAGCAGTAAGTTCATTTCCAGAATTACTGGGAAATCCATTTGTTTATTTTTTGTTTCAATATTCAATAAACATTATCTAATGCACTTTTTAGCACATGTTTTTATCGGGCAAGGTGTAAGAGCAATAACTCTTGTAAAAAGATATGGTGAGCAGTTTAGATATGAGAGATAGAAAAGTTAAATTTATTACCCAAATTATTTTCTATACGAATGTATGTTTATATATATATATATATATATATATATATATATATATATATATATATATATATATATATATATATATATATATATATATATATATATATATATATATGTGTGTGTGTGTGTATGCCCGAGTGTATTTGTGTGTGTATACGTTTTTATACATATGTTATTGTATACACGTTGTTTAAATAAAATGACGATTGTTCTAATTTCCATTTTGTCTTACCTTTGAGATGTTGACACTATTTTGTTCGAAACCCACCAAGGTATCTCTTAACATTATTATACGAACATTATAGTTCACCAAGTTCTTATTATATATTATTTATATAGATGAAAAAAAATACAATAAGAACATGACATATATTATCAACTAACTGAAGCCAAGGGATGAAAGAATCAAACTAAGCTGGCATTTTTATTTATCAAGCAAGGATAGCAGAGAATCAATAAAAACTCATGTTACACAAAGGGTTCATAGATTTAAAAATACAAACAACCAAAGACGTTGTGTTTGTGTGACAAACATTCTATACACATTGCTCATGATACAGATAAATAAATATTTTTAATTAACACCAGATTACCTCTGTCTTGTTCAATGGTTTATCTTCTTTCTCCGCTTCGATCGCTGATCCCCCTTCTTTTGCGGCCTCTTTGGAACGTTTGAAAAACTTGTTTATAGAGAAGCCCTGCATGGCGTCTTTCCGGCTCAAGACGTTGACGACGGCGAACTCGACGAGGGCGGCGACGACAAATACGAGACAGGTGGACATCCAGACGTCAATGGCCTTGGTGTAGGAGACTCTGGGCAGGGCGGCGTTGACGTCTGAGGATTTTTTTAGAAGCAAACGGCGAGTTAGGTTCAAATCAGTTGAACGTCAACGAGTACATCCAGCTCTGGTGGGGATCTAACTCACAAAAGCGGCTTGGCATAATGCTGATACAGTATACCCTTTTATGCCGAGGTCATTGAAACAGATGAACTCCACTTCTTCTGTCACATGTGTCTTTGGCACAAACGGGAAAAGAAGGAGATAAATTGCTTGTTAGCTTTTGCTTAGATATAATCTGATGTTATAAACGGAAGTCGGGGTGGTGGGGTCGGTTAACCTCATGGTTGTAAACCCGAAAAGTCTCGAGTTCGAATCCCCGGATTAATGTGACTCGATAGCTGGGGACAGCAACTCTTCTAGAGACAACTCCAAAATCAAATAATAGCTGCCTCGTAGTTTATTCTTGGTTGGACAAAGTCTATGGATGCAAACCCAAAAAGAAAAGCAGGCTGAAATCTGAGTCAAAAGGCTTACGTGTTACGTGTTAACATGTAAAGGGCTTTATGGCGCTTCACAAGTTGACACGTAATACTTATTTGTGTTGGAGGAAATCCCTTCCAACATTACAAATACAAACGAAGATCATATAAAAATATATTAAGTCTGCTATTGCTAATCAACCAATATCTAGTACAGTATTAGTTATATCTAACAACTTTCTTAGATTTATATTAAAGTTTGCATGAATTCATGGAATAGAAGAAATATTAGATTTAAAGAAATTTATTTTATTGCTATTAAAAAAAAATCATTTCAGAACACGTATTTCCATAGAAATATCCCCCCCCCCCGACTTACTTGAGCTTGGTACCCCATTTCATCTGACTTACTTGAGATCAGTGCCCCACCCCCCGACTTACTTGAGCTCCGTGCCCCCCCCCGACTTACTTGAGCTCCGTGCCCCTCCCCCGACTTTCTTGAGCTCCCTGCCCCACTCCCCCTGACTTACATGAGCTCTCTGCCCCACTCTCCTCGACTTACTTGAGCTCCGTGCCCCTCCCCCGACTTTCTTCAGCTCCCTGCCCCACTCCCCCTGACTTACATGAGCTCTCTGCCCCACTCCCCTCGACTTACTTGAGCTCCGTGCTCCCCCCCAACTTACTTGAGCTCTGTGCCCCCCCCCCATCCCCCGACTTACTTGAGCTCCCTGCCCCCCCTCCCCCCGACTTACTTGAGCCCCATGCCCCCCCCCCCCCCCCCCCGACTTACTTGAGCTCTGTGTGGTCATGGTGAGCACCGTGAGCAGCCCCAGCGAGACCCGACCAGGCACCGAGTTGACGTTGAGCCAGAAGGAGATCCAGGAGAGCATGACGATGAGCACGCTGGGGATGTACATCTGGACCATGTAGAAGCCGATGTTCCTGGCCAGGTGAAACTCGGCTTGCAGACAGCTGTGGTTACCTGGGGAGACATGCCAGGTGGGGTTTGGTTACCTGGGGAGACATGCCAGGTGGGGTTTGGTTACCTGGGGAGACACGCCAGGTGGGGTTTGGTTACCTGGGGAGACACGCCAGGTGGGGTTTGGTTACCTGGGGAGACATGCCAGGTGGGGATTTTCAAGGTAAAAACATTTTTAAATATATTTCTATCTTACAGGTACTATTTTAGGCTAGGCGGTCAATGGAGCAAGTGTGATGTTGTTTCACCTGTTTCTGTGACCTCTTCAAAGAAAGGTAGAGTATAGTGAAGGCAATGGATAGAGTCTTTGGTTTCACCTACGTGAGTCATGTACCAATCAGAGATGGGTGAAAGTGTACCTCACACTATTCTTCAGATCATTTAAGTATATGCTTTAGCTAGAACGTGAAACCAAAACTGTATTTCACACAAAACGTTATCTTTCATACTCTAAACTCTAAAATAAGATTTATCAAAGTGTTACTAATGTCAAACTTGAAGTGGACTATACAAAAACATAGTCCTACAATAAATTTACAGATCTTATGTGTGTTTTGAATATAAATTTATGATGTAGTTCCTACCCCAAATTTACCAGTTTTCGTTTTTAAGTGTGTACAATATTTTTGAGTCCACTCAGCTTTAATAAGTACCTGACTAGAATTGGGGGAATAAAAGGCATTTGTGCATTGTGCTAACCACGATATTCCTTCTTTGCCATGTTCACAGAAACAGAAAAACTCCATTTAATGTGCCCCATGCATAGGTCGAGTACTTCATTTTGTTACTGTAGTTTCTTTTATTAATAAAAATTACTAAATTCAACTATATGATATAGTGAATGCAAAGTATAATAATGGTGCGACTCCTTACAAGCGCAGGTCTAAATAAATCACCCTTGACGTAAATGTATTCAATCTTCTTCTTCTTCGTTCTTAATTTTTAGTGTTGGAAGGGATCAAGCCTTATCTGCCAGAGTGTTTGAACTCGAGACTTTTTCGAATTTATCAACCATGAGCTTTTTGCCGACTCGACCATGCCTCCATCACAATTAAGTATACGTGTCAGCTGGTTATGCGCCATTGAGGCAATTGACTCCGATTTCAGCCTGCTTTTCTTTTTTGGATTTGCTTCCATAGCCTTTGTCCAACCAAGAACAAACTACAAGGCAGCAGTTGTTTTAATTTTGGAGTTGTCTCTCCTAGAAGAGTGGCTGTCCCCAGCTAACGAGCCTCATTGGCCCTAGGGTTCGTACTCGAGACTTTACGGTTTAGTAACCATGAGCTTTACCGACTCGACCACGCCGACCCCTGATGTATTCAATGAATCATTAGAAACTTAATTTGAATCCAAGCATTGACCTATATGCTGGTGGTACTAACCTTTCCGTTGGTGGTACTGACGCCCGCAGACCACGGGCCGAACGTCCTTGATCTCGAACTGTGGCAGCATGACCTGGTGGTCCACAATTATTGACGAAGCTGAGAGTTCGCCGTCTTGATGGGTGGAGTTTTCCTTGAACCACTCAAATTGCACATCGGTATCAGTGTAGCCAACTACATGCAAAGAAATGTGTACATATATATATATATATATATATATATATATATATATATATATATATATATATATATATATATATATATATATATATATATATATATCTATATATATAAAGCAAAGTGGTCGGGTGCCCGATAGGGCACTTCCCGGCGCCGCAGGCGCGTCAAATTTGGCACGAAGGTGCCTTATGGCGATAGAACACGAGGGCCGGTGACGGTTCGGCAAAAAGTCTACGGAGAGGGGGTCAAAACTGACCTCGACTGACCGGCGCCTTATATGGGCTATATTACGAAAAAAAAATTCCTCCGACGACCCCCCTTGAAATTTTGTGAGGTGGTAGGAGAACACCTTGGGGTGTCACAAAAAACTCAGCATATCTGGGAAAACTTCGTAAAGGGGTCAAAACTGACCAGTTGTATTTCCCTATATAATCTTTGTATTTTATGGGAAAAACAGAGGGTCATTTCAACGCAGACTTTAGGATACTTAAGCTCAGTATATCTGGCTAATTTTTTGCATGCTCCTAGGTCAATGGCTTGACCTTTAGGGAAAACTGTCGGTTACACTCAAAGCCCTCAACGAGGGCTAAAAAGTGACCGCGAGTGAAATTCTCTTTATATGAGCTCTATTAGGAAAAAAAAATTCCTCCGACGACCCCCCTTGATATTTTGTGAGGTGGTAGGAGAATGCCTTGGGGTGTCACAAAAAACTCGCCATGTCCGGGAAAAATCGGGAAATGGGTCAAAACTGACCAGTCGTATTTCCCTATATAATCTTTGTATTTTATGGGGAAAACAGAGGGTCATTTCAAAACGGATTTTATGGCACTTACCCTCTTTACATCTGGCTCAGTTTTGGCATGCTTATAGGTAAATGGCTTGAACTTTAGGGAAAACTGTCGGTTACACTCAAAGCCCTCGACGATGGCTAAAAAGTGACCGCGAGTGAAATTCTCTTTATATGAGCTCTATTACGAAAAAAAATTTCCTCCGACGACCCCCCTTGATATTTTGTGTGGTGGTAGGAGAACACCTTGGGGTGTCACAAAAAACTCGGCATATCTGGGAAAACTATGTAAAGCGGTCAAAACTGACCAGTTGTATTTCCCTATATAATCTTTGTATTTTATGGTAAAAACAGAGGGTCATTTCAACGCAGACTTTAGGGTACTTAAGCTCAGTATATCTGGCTAATTTTTTGCATGCTCCTAGGTCAATAGCTTGACCTTTAGGGAAAACTGACGGTTACACTCAAAGCCCTCGACGAGGGCTAAAAAGTGACCGCGAGTGAAATTCTCTTTATATGAGCTCTATTAGGAAAAAAAAATTCCTCCGACGACCCCCCTTGATATTTTGTGAGGTGGTAGAAGAACACCTAGGGGTGTCATAAAAAACACGGCATATCTGGGAAAACTTCGTAAAGCGGTCAAAACTGACCAGTTGTATTTCCCTATATAATCTTTGTATTTTAGGGGAAAAACAGGGAAATTTTAACACAATTTTTAGGTTACTTAATGTCTGTACATCATGCTAAGTTTTTCCATACACTACTATAGATGACTAGGCCGTATGGAAAAACTGTTGGTCAGACTCAAAGCCCTCGACGAGGGCTAAAAGATGGTCTTGAGTGAAATTCTCATTATATGAGATATATATATATATATATATAAATAAATTGACGAACGATCCCCTTAATATTATGTGACGTTGTAGACCGACTCTGGAGGGTAACAAAAAAACTTTATTCCCGTCGGAAACAGCCATTATAGTCGTTAAATATGTTCATATGACGTAATTTCTTATATAAGCAAACAATATAAGTAAACAATGACATACGTCATACGTTCAGTTTTCAAGGGAGGTAACGTTTTTAAAATTATTATTTTTCAAATAATTGTATACTATTTTAAACAGAAACAGAAAATGACGAAGTATAGCATTTGTTTTAGTACAAAATTAAGTTGTTAATTTAGTTAAGTATCCTAATTAAATTAATTAATTAATTTCAAAAGGCAATGTAACATAAACTATGAGATATACTGTTCATGAAACCTGTGTAGTTCTAATTCCATTTTAGTTATACATTGCGTACTTTCCAAAAATTCTCTTTGCACTAAATATACATGACGGACAAAAACATGTTTTTTCTAAAGTTAGCATTACTGTTTAAATTCAACTTATTAAAGCACTCCACACCCAATCCATCGCTAAATTATTAAGTATTCAAATTCTCAAATGTTTTTTAAAAACCTAAGCGAAGCTAGGCAGTATGCCTAGTATATATATATATTATATATATATATATATATATATATATATATATATATATATATATATATATATATATATATATATATATATATATATATATATATAGAAATAATTGTCTTTTTTTACACATTTATACTTACAGCTCATCATCTTGATGAGGCATATCTGCTTATCAAAAGGATAGTTCTTGAGATCCATAGGACAGCTCAGCGTCATAGACAACCTAAAATATTTTAAAACTAAAATACCACTGTCTTAGAAATGCATCACCATGATAAGTCCCTACCCTACCTTTTGGTGCTTGGGCGAATTAGAATATTTTCCTGGTTCTCTTATATATATATATATATATATATATATATATATATATATATATATATATATATATATATATATATATATATATATATAATTATATATATATATAATTATATATATATACATGCATATATATATAGTATATATATTTATAATATTACAAAACCGTGCCATCCTTGTACACCCTCCCCACACACACTGACCTGGAGATGTACACACACTGACCTGGAGATGTACACACACTGACCTGGAGATGTACAAAACCGTGCCATCCTTGTACACCCTCCCCACACACACTGACCTGGAGATGTACACACACTGACCTGGAGATGTACAAAACCGTGCCATCCTTGTACACCAACATCATCTGGTTCTGTGCCATGATCTTATGGAACGAGCCCCGCTTCTCGTTCGGAAAGAAAATGTCCGGCACCCAGATCTCTTTGATGTTCTCCGAGTCGAAGTCCACGTAGTGCTCTTTGATGGAGTTGAATCTGTTTTCGATGTCGGAGGATGTGAGTCGTTTGTCGTGCCATCGCAGGTGCAGTAGAATGCCGACTGTATAGTCCTGTAGATAAACCGTGTTGAATAAAAACAGGGAGGCAACTACTTTTCAAAATAGTATGTAGATAATTATGTAATTTATTTTAATAAGGTATTTTAAAAAATAAATATCAGAAAGCTGCCTTATAAGTTATCCTTTACCATATATTATTTATCATGTAGAGGTTACATTAAATTAGTTTTATCAAGGGAACGTTATTTTACGCAAACTGATAACATTTAACCGATAAAAGCAGATTTGAGTATTACTCATTAAATACAAATAACAACCAATTTTTGTTGTATTTATAATACATTTTAAAAAAATATTATGCTTGTTTCATAAAAATTGTGGATAAACTTGTAAACATAATCACCAACATGTCTACCGATTTATATGAATGATGAACCTCTAAAGGCTTTACGTGATGAAATACAATAGGAATATTAAACGCAAAGATACTATGTTGTAAAAAAATGTAAAGTTTCCTTTTCAAACCTGACGGTCGATGTGGCAAGTGAAGTATAGTTCACTTGTTGCTGTGACCTCGGCATATGAAGAGATGGTGTGGTCAGCACTATGCCCAGCCGCCTTTACTTTCCCTAACATGAGTTAGGTACCCATCAGAGTTGGGTGGACTCAATGACGGTCTACTGACATGAACCGCTAGACCACTCCGTCAAAGATACTATGTTGAACGAAGATCAAATACAATGTTAATGTTGACCACCAACCTGCTGTGTTTAACTAAGACCTACCAGACTGACTTCGTTAACAGCTTCAATGCTGGACACATAGAGTAGGACCTGGACTCTCGTCGGGTCGTCTGTGGAATCAGACACACAAGATTTTAATTTAGACATGACTGAAACACCAAGGGTCAAATGGAATGACGTGGTCGGACTGTCGAGCGCACAGGTGCTGACTCGAAAGACTGGAGTTCGGATCCCGAACTCCACTCGGACGTTGGTGTTTTACCCCATACTGAAGTCATGAGAATTAACATTAACCAGGAGGCCCCAGTGACAATAGACGGAAGACAGGTGAATGATGTGGAAGAGTTTGTCTACCTTGGCAGCAAGATCAGCAAAACGGGAGGCACAGAGGAGGACATACGCGCTAGAGTAAATAGAGCCCGCTGCGCTTTCAAAGTCCTGCGACCCATATGGAAAAGTTCGGCCATCCCCATTACCACAAAAAATAGGATATTTAACTCTAATGTCAAGGCAGTTCTGCTGTATGGAGCAGAGACATGGAGAGTCTCCAAGGCAAGCACAACAAAGATACAGACCTTCATGAATAGATGCCTTAGACAGATACTGAAACTGAGATGGCAGGACAAAGTGCCGAACATAGAATTATGGAGGAAAGCTAAGCAGGAGCCTATGGATGTGCAAATAAGAAGGAGGAAGTGGCGCTGGGTGAGTCTCACACTGCGAAAGGCTCACCTAAATGTTACACACCAGGCTTTTGAGTGGAGCCCCCAGGGAAAGCGGAAGAGAGGGCGCCCAAGACAGACCTGGAGGCGGAGTCTTCTTAGAACTGAAGCCAACAGGGATGTCTTGGGAGATGACAAAATTAATAGCCGAGGATCGGAAGAAATGGAAGGAAATGGTTGAGGTCTTATGTTCCATAAGGAGCAAAGAGGACTAAGTCAAGTCAAAGTCAAGTCAGCGCATACTGCTGGCCACACTATCTCTTGAGACGCCGTGGTGACTGAAACGGGTGAACTCTACTTCGTCTGCGCCGTGGACAGACAGGTAACTTTGCTTTTACCAACATCGCATAATGTTTACTATATTAACGATTATTCTTGACTAGTAGTCATTTGTTGACGTTCTTGTCTGTAACATTGAACGATTTAATTTCTTTGTAACCCACTTAGATCTTCCATAAACGACGTCACACTTGTGACGGTGTGTCATGAGGGGGAGGGAGGGGTTGGTTCAGATGGTGTTACATCACACTTTTGCGTTATAAAAAAAAGATATTTAGCCGTTATTTCGCGTTTTAGAAAACTGTTTTAATAAATTGAAATAGGAATAGATTAAAATACTTTTATATACTGACATGATTTTGGGAAAATATCGTATTTTAAGGACGATTCCATTTCAGTATTGAGGGGGGGGGGGGGGTGGGAGTTGTTGGATGAGGTATGATGTCATTTTAGAGAGGGGGTCAGGAATTTTGTGACAATGTGTAACGGGCGGGAAGGGGTAGGTTAAAAATCGTCCAAAAAAGAGTGACGTCATTGATGGATGACGCCCCCCTTACCTGTGTCGTACAAGGGCGGTGACGTCTTCAGGTTATCGTACTTGCTCTTGGCCATCAGGACGATCGACGACGCCATAGTGGCTCGGGTACTGTAAACACGTTTAAGTTGTACATGTTAGTTAAAGGAAACACGGAGTTGTTTTTTTAATTCAATACTGAAGTAGTTTTCGTAGAATGTGTACTAGTAGCAGAAGGAATACGACAACATGGTACTGTAAACAATTTTAAATTGTACACGTTAGTTAAAGGAAACAGGGAGTTGTCTATGATTCAATACTGAAGTAGTTTTCATAGAATGTGCACTAGCAGCAGAAGGAATACGACAACATGGTACTGTAAACAAGTTTAAATTGTACATGTTAGTTAAAGGAAACACAAAGTTGTTTTTTATTTAATACTGAAGTAGTTTTCGTAGAACGTGTACTAGCAGCAGAAGGAATACGTTGAGTAGCAGGTAAAGAACTATGATATTAAATCGTACACATTGTACACAGGTTGGGGTGTGGGAGGTGTTTTATATTATTGCTGTTTTATTTATATTTTGTCTCTGGGATGTTATATAAAAGATATAAATATTTGCGTAACTAAAACAAATATATCGTTAACAGTAACACTAGTTTCAGTAGTTAAAACAAAGGTGTGTGTAGTTATTTGCGCTGTTTTTATGTTTTATGGAGCTGATCTTAATAAATTATGTATTATTTGATGGTGAATTATTGAAATTTGTTAAGTGGTGAGTCGAAAATATGATTTTTTTATGTGTACGTATCTTATTTCTTAAAGATAATTATTATTCACAATTTTAATAAGTCCCGTTGGAAAAAAACAGACTACTCTGCAAGTCAATATGTTTTGTTTTGTTTTATTGAAGTCAGCAGATTTGTTAATACGAAAAGTTGTACATTTCCACGTAGAGATGGAGATGGAGATTGGACATTGAATCCATCTATGTTCTATGTTTGGTGCATCTCGGGTTGTAAGGGTTAATGTCAACTATACAAAAAGAAACAGCATAACTTCTCATCAAGGTGTGAAAAGAACGTGAGACTAACCCAACATAACATCGTTTCTAAAGTTAGTTTTTTATCAAGTTTTAAATCAGCACTAACAATCTAATGTTGATACGGGCATGAGGGTTATTCAACCAACATGATTTCTAAAATCAGATTAAATAACTGCTTTTTTTATCTTTCAGTTGAGCACTTAACTTTTCCTGCGAACATTCGTTTTCTTTTAAATAAAAATAGAAACTATTAACCTTTCCTCTCTACTGAACATGCAAAAAAATATGCACATCCACACTTTAGGAACGATGATAAAATAAAATAAAATAAATAAAATGTAATTTCTGGATTTAATAATTCCCATGGCACGAAAAAACGTACCAAACATACACACACACAAACATACACACAAACAGGATCACGAAAAAAATACGATAAGTGGGCAAAAGTAAAGAATTTCAAACACCCACAAACTAAACTACCCGGGTCGCCAGAGTAGAAATCTATTTTAAATAAGGCAAGATCCGCCGCGAAGATTTTTTTTCTTGTATAAACTGCAAAATCTGCTGGAGTAGTTTCAGGGATTTACAAAATACATTTTGGAGTGGATTTCATTGAATGTGTTTATGTAAAGTATGCTCTATTCATGTATTGAAGTTTTTTTAAAGTAAAGTGTGGGCCTTTCATCTATGTGTTTTCTCAGTTTAAATCCAACCTTTGAACTTTGTTTACTTTTAGAAATATTTGCAAGGCCAACAACAGTTTTTCATTCTCAATGAATGTAACTCTTTGATGAAGAGATATTTTTTATGTGAACTAAAACAACTCTTTAATGATGAGATAATTTTCATTTGAACTAAAACAACAACAAACAGTAAGAGTGGATACAGACATGTAGCTATCATTTTAAGTCTGTGTCAATTTCTCTAGACTACACGACATCGGCAAATGCTTGTATATTTGTGTATATATATATATATATATATATATATATATATATATATATATATATATATATATATATATATATGTGTGTGTGTGTGTGTGTGTGTGTGTGTGTGTGTGTGAGCGCGCGCGCGCGCATGTGTTTGTGTGTGTGTAAACATCTATGTAAAATTAGAGATCTAAATTCAAGTTTATTTTCTCTGCATACTTAAAGTTGTTACATATAAATAGCATAGCACTTATTTTATTTCATTTCTTTATTTTTTGCGTCTATTTGTATTAATATGTATGCTAGTATGTTTGTTAAATGAGTGTGTTTATCCGTCTGTTGACTGAAGTTTCGGAAAATATCTTCTTTAATGTGTCTGTTAATCTGTTAATCTGGTTTTCAATCACCGGTTAAAGTGTCTGTTCATCCAATTGCTAATCTATATGGTAATAAGTGTGTTTAAATATATGTCTGTTCACATGTCTGTTAAAGTGTCTGTTGATGTTTCTGTCAATGTGTCTGTTAGCCAGAAAACGAATGATCCGAGGAAATAAATTGTAGATGTTCATATCCATGGGGTATATTAATAACATGAAAAAAAAAACTATTTAAAAAAAAACCCCATTGCTGCTGAAGGAATGTCAATTAAAAAATGACGCTCATCTTTGATAAATCGGTTCGAAAATTGACATGATTGATCTAAAAATATTTTTTTACTGCAACATTTTAGAGCGAGCAGTGTTCGCGCACGTCCATAGCGATTTATCTCCATCATCGATCTCTAACACTCACCCTATCGATCACCGTGCGAAAAACAACCGGCCAAGCCTTTAACCTGGCGTTTCAATCCAGCAATAAATATTCAAGTATACTCAATACACATCAGTTAAGTCGCTGTTGTTATTTGGATCATCGCGACATGATAGGCTATACAAAATTATTTGACGGCGTATTAATCAACAAATTGTAAAATATTAATAGATTTTTTTTTATTTGGTAGGTGTGTGCAGGGCTGGACTGGCTGTGTTCAAAGGGCCCGGGAAATTTTCCATGGGGGCTCCCGACTCTTGACTACAATTTTCATTGTGTATCTCCCACCCCCCCCCCCCCCCCAAACACACACACACACACACACACACTTTCCCATCCAATTGAATGTTACGCCTTGGTATGAAGGAGTGCAAATGGTAAAATGGAGAAATATAGAAAAAAATTTAAAAAATCAAAACACTAATCAGACTTTTACTATAGAATTATTCCTGGGGGCCCACCGACATTTTTTCCATGGTGGCCCACGAAGGCTTTTTCCTGGGTGCCCACAGGGATTTTTACCTGGGGGGAGGGGGCAACACGATTTTGTGCTGGGGGGCCCACAGGGATTTTTACCTGGGGGGAGGGGGCAACACGATTTTTTCACGTGGGTCCACCGAGATTTTTCCCCACTGAATCAGCGGGCCAGTCCACTCAGACAATGGCCATGAATGGATTCGATCCGCGGTCCAAAAGTCTTGTGTACCACCATGTATCTGCTACACCTCAATGTGCAAAAACATAAAACTAATGTAATCTAATTGTCGTTATCAAATATTCCGCCCACGTTACCCACAAACAAAAGCCATCTGGACGTGCATTAGGGCAGTAATTATTTTATTTAATTGATGTACTCACTCAAGTGTCCCATGGGGACCTGCACATTTTTTGTTGCACGAGATAAAGAGCACAAGGACGGGAGGGGGGGGGGGAAAGTTCATGAGAGAGAGAGAGAGAGAGAGTAAGATAGAGTGGTATGGAGAAGAGAGAAGCGGGGAGAGATGGTAGAAAGTTAAAAAGGCTGAGAGAGATTGGAAAAGAGAGGACGTGTGATACATAGAAGGGAAGAAAGACACGTAGGCAGAAATAGATAAAACGAAAGAGTAAAATTAAGAAGAGAATGAGCGTAGGAGAGAAAGATAAAGACATGGACAGGGTAGAAGGTGGGGGAAATACAACAAAAGAAAACTTTTTTTTTCATGATAAATCACAATCGATTTTCCTCATTGAACTAAACCAAACGAACGTACAGTGTTGTGTTACATAGATAACGGTTTACTGTTTTTTCCCTCCAACCATGTGGTTTGTCAGCATCACAGGATTGAATTTAGCTGCATTTTTATGTTCTGCTCTGAACGGATTAGCCGACATTGCTTGTGATAGATTAGGGCGTCTCAACCCACGCCTTACGTCATATCCGGTCGGATTTTTTTAGTTTACGTTTGGAAGTCAGACAATTTTTTATTTGTTTAAGATTGAACATCTTCAGACGCGGTGTGGAGAGAGCACGTCTATTTTGGTTGGATAAGAAAAAACGAAGTTAAAAGTTAAGCAAATAAATATAAGAATGTAAAGAAGAAAAAAAAACAAGCCAGAACAATAACAAATGAGATAAACTGAGTAAATACAACTATGTAAACACATTTAAGAGTTACGTTTGAACAAAAAAGAAAGCGAAACTTAAAGGTAATCTCAAATGTTAAACCACTCGAACACGATTCGTCTTTTAAAACGAAGTTGGTGAAAGAATGGGTGTTTGGGGGGGGGGGGGGGCATTGTAGCACTTCCAAATTTTCTCCCCCCCCCCCCCCCCCCCACACACACAGACACAAACACACATCTGTAATTGTAATTAAGTATTCTTTTCCTAAAATATTAACGGGTGATTCACAACAGTGTACAATACTTCTTACACACAGGGGAAAAGGAAAGAAAGTAAAATAAAGTTTCCCTTTCAAACCTGACGGTCTATGGGGCAAGTGAAGTTTCTGTGACCTTGGCATATGAAAAGATAGCGTGGTCAGCACTATGTCCAGCCGCCTTTACTTTCCCTAACGTGAGTTAGGTACCCATCAGAGTTGGGTCTACGGATTCGAACTCGAGACTTACGGGTTTGCAGTCCAGCTCTCTACGGCTAGACCACTCTGTCCCATGAAAAGGAAAGTAGGCCGGCTTGAAGTAATTCTGGAGTAGGACAGTAGAAGGAACAGCAAGAGTTGCCGGGTTTATTTGGTCACAACTGAAGAGAGCGGCCCAAAACCGAGTCCAGTGGAGAGGTGTAGCCGCAGCCATTTGAATCTCAGGGGCCACAAAGGAATAAGTAGGGTCAGTCTCAAAT